AGCTGAAGATCCATATGAGGAAGCACACAGGAGAGCGACCCTACTCATGCCCGCACTGCCCAGCCCGCTTCCTGCACAGCTACGACCTCAAGAACCACATGCACCTGCATACAGGGGACCGTCCCTATGAGTGCCACCTGTGCCACAAGGCTTTCGCCAAGGAGGACCACCTGCAGCGCCACCTGAAAGGCCAGAACTGCCTGGAGGTGCGCACCCGGCGTCGTCGCAAGGACGATGCACCACCCCACTACCCACCACCCTCCACCGCCACCTCATCACCTGCTGGCCTTGACCTCTCCAATGGCCATCTGGACACCTTCCGCCTCTCTCTGGCTCGATTCTGGGAGCAGTCAACCCCCTCGGGGGCCCCGGTCTCCACCCCGGGGCCCCCTGATGATGAGGAGGAGGAGGGAGCACCCACTACACCCCAGGCTGAAGGTGCCATGGAGTCCTCTTAAAGAGGCATGAGTGGTGAGGCTGGAGCAGCAAAGGCTGGGGACACCATGCCAAGCATTGGGAGCACGAAGGACAGCAGAGATCAGAAGCACCAAGCCTTGCAGCCGTCAGAGTCACATCGGCCACTTCGCACCAGAGCTCTGCGTCCTCATTCCAGTTTGGAGCTGAAGAGGTTTGGGGCTAGAGGCTCCCTTGATTGGGGCAATCCTGACGAGTGATACATAAGATACTGTGTATATATTTACAGCTCTGTTGTAAAGGTGGGCTTCCTGTCCCCAGCTGCTCCTGGGGAGCAGAAGCAATAATGTATTTCTGATTTGTGGGGTCCTACTTCGGCTATGCGGGTTTTTAGAAGGCAGGGGCTTGGGACCAAAGCCTTGCCCCTGCTCCCATGCCTCTTAGGGGTTTTGGCTGTGTAAGGGGGTGAAAGACTGCCCCTCCTTCCTGGTTTCTGTTCCCTTTCCAAGCAGCGAATTATGCAAAAGGGGTGGCAAAGGAAGGGTAGGTGGAGAAAGCAAGGTAGAGGCTTGAAGGCTGGGGTGGGGGGGACGACTGGGCCTGTAAGGAAGGAGCCATCCCAGTCCCCTCCGCCCTGCTCCAGCGCTGAGTCATGGGGTCCTGGAGAAGAGGGGCGGGGTGGCCTGATCTGCTCGCCCGCCCCTGGGGGCAGCGGGAGGGCCCCGCCCAGCCCAGGGAGCCGCTGTGCGGCGCTCCCTCCGCCCTCTGCGTCCCCGGGCAGGGAATGTCTTGTTCCCGCCGCTCCCTCCCTGGGGCCAGAGGGCAGGGCGGGCCGGGCGGCGTCTCCCCTCTTCTCCCTACCTCCTCCCCGCCCAGGTGCGAGCCGGAGCCGCCACCACGGCCGCCCCTGACTCACGCCGCCCCCGGGCTGGCTGGGCGCAGGGTGTGGGACCGGGTGAGGGGTTGGGGAGCCTGGCGGGTGAGAGGGCGCCATCTGGCGGCCGAGCCCTGCGCAAGCGGGCGAGAGCCCCCGTGGCTATTCCGCGCCCGCTGTCTTCCTGCACCCCACGATCCCGGCCCCCAGGCTGGCACCCCTTTTCCGAGGAGGCAAGTTGTGGGCCTGTAGGAGAGGGACCCCCTTCTCAGATCCTTGCCAACCGGCCGCCTTGTGGGGCAAAAGAGTCCCTCATCTCCCCTAGGACTGAATCCACCCTCATAATGTACATAACCTTTTCTGTTGGTCTTGTTGAAATCTAGTTTCAGATTTTTAACTCCCCCATTCTGCTGGTGCGGGAGTGTCCCCCAACCCCTTCCTCGCTGGGTGCTGGACCCCCATTGCGGCCTGGGCTCCGCCTTGCACTATTTTCCCTCCTTGGCCTGGTGGTCCCCTTCCTCCTCAAAAGGGGCAGGTTCAGGGGCCCGGTGCTGTCCCCCCTTCCCATACACCCCTATGCCCATTTGCACAGCTGCCCAGGTACCCCCAACAGTGGGGAGGGGTCACAGGGAGGGGGTAATGGAACCTGTCCCTGTATCTATTTAAAAAGTGATAATGTAATATATTGGGGTGGGAGGGGAGGTCGGGTGCCCTGGGCCATACCTTAGCATTTCAGGTGATAAGGGGAGCCCAAGGCAGGGGAGACCTGGGGTCTGGCCCCAGAGAGTGGGTCAGTGTGGCCTCTCCTCTCCCTACTTGTGGCTTTCCCAGTCAGTGCCTTAGGGGGGGAGGTATCCTCCCTTCTGTTCCCTTCCGGTAGCCCTGCCCCTCCACCTCGGGTGTAAGCGACAGGAAGAAATAATAATTTAAGATTCACACTTGTGTCCACTTTTGGTTCCTTTATTTTCAGGGTGGATAGGAGGGGAGGAAGGTGAGAGACAGAGGGTTGGAGAGTTCTGAGGTTGGGGAGGGGGCTGTTGGGGGCAGAGGATTTCTGAGGGGATGAGAAATACAGGCAGATCCTGGGTGGGCTTCAGGCAGGAGCCATGGGCACGTGCTACCTCTGTGAGGTTCCCTTGTCCTCCAAGTCACTAGGGAGGAGAGGGAAGGGACAGCTCTATCACCAGTATTTTGTTTTCACAGGTGTCCCTGCCCCATCTGCTCTGATCCAGCTCCTGTTATTTATCAGTGGCTCCTGCTCTCCTAGCCCCTGAGGCGTACCAGCCCTAGGCTGGAGATAACTTCTGATTTTAGGCTCCTGCTGAGGACTGGGTGGGCAGTGACTTGCCCTAGTAGCTAGCAAGGGCAAAACCACTGGTGACCTCAGCTGTCACCTTGCTCAAGGCTCAGCTGCCCCCTGCTGATCTAGCCTTTTAACTTCCACAGGCCCCTGGAATGGCTAAAAGCAAGTTTTAATGCCCTTTGTGTGCCTGGGCTCAACAACCTCTGTGTCCATCCCTTAGCTTCCTTTGCAGGCCCCCAGTTGGAGGCAGCTTAACCTTCTCTTGCCTCAGTTTTTGTTGTGAAGCCTTTAGCTATCACCACAGTTGTATCGTTGGCACTGTTAACAGCTGATCCTTCCAGACACCTTCCCACATCCATCCAGGGTACATAAGCCCAGTACTGGACTGCTGCTCATGTGGCCCGGTGGCCTCCTCACAGGAGGACCTATTTCCCTGGCTTTCAATCTTTATGGCCTTGACTCCAGTGACCTTCGCCTCATCCTCCCCTGGTCAGATGTCCCAGTTAGCCTCGGCCACTCGGCAGACTCATCCCAGAGCTCCAGCCCTCAGTCCTGCCAGCTGTCTTTTTGACCATGCTATGTCCTAACATCTCCCTGTGACACAGCCCCTGGACTGCCCTGGGCCTTGGCTCCTTGTCTTCTCCAAGGGCAGTCATCTTAGTCAGCTGACCTGCACGGAAAAAGCTCTTAGCCCTCAATCCTAGTTGTTGCCACCATGTTTGCCAAAGAATAAGCAGGGACACTGGGCAGGTGTTATAGGTTAGGGTTTTCAACATCACTAGGCCTTTGACACTAACTGGAAGTCCCTTCACTCTCCAGGTGACATGTTAGCACACTGCCCACGGCAGGTATTTCAGCCTCCACCACCCACTCCTGAGACCTTTATGCCACTGGCAGCCACCCCCTTCTCTCTTGACAGGTGCCCCTGCCCCCCACACCCTCAAGAAAAACAAAGCATGGGCTTGAGAGGCTCAGCTCTGCCCAGAGAACCTCCTCTCTCCTTTGCCTCAGCCAAGCCTGTGCCTATCTAGGGCCACCTTGTCCACCTGGCTTAAAGCCCCCTCCCTAGTCAGTGCTCTCCTTTTCTACTTCCTGTCCTGGGTACAGAAACCCCTGTGAATTCTGGGTCTCTTGCATACTACTCGTGTGTAACTTTACCATCAAGCTTCCTGTTTGTAACTACAGCAGGTATCATGTAAAAGAAATTCTCAAACTTCTGGCAGCTGTGATGCAGGGCACACATCTCCTCTTCGTGGGTCCTCTCTTCCCTCAACCTGCCTGATGTGTACCAATCTCCCCTCAACCTGTCCTGATGTGTTTTTGGCCTTCGTGGCATACTAAGAGTGTCCCCACTGGCCACACCAGTGGTCCAGTGGCCATCCCCGCCCCCAGCCAGCCATCACCTCAGGCTTTAGGGCTTTGCTTTTCTGCTTTCTTGAGCTCCTCCCCTCTCTCAGGTTTGTGATGAGCTCCTCAGGGTTTGACCCTCATCTCTTTACTGCTGTGCCCTTCACCAGGGTGACCTAGCCTATCCTCTTAAAGTCTGGGTGGCAACAACCCCAGAAGAGACCTCCCGCCTCAGCCATGCTCCTTTCCATCTGGGCCCTGGGCCTCCGCAGCCGGATACCCTGAAGACTCTTTACGGGTCTCCAACTGGCCCAGTCCTCTCTACCCAGAGCCCTTTCTCCGCTTGCCCCTGCACCTACCGAGTCCCAAGTATGGATCTCAGTCAGGATCAGGATCACCCTGATGTCACCACCCTCTCCCAGACTGTGACAGCTACTGCCCAGCCTCCACACTGCCTTCTCAGCTTATGGTCTTGACAAATGTGAATATGTCACTTTCCAACTTGATTTTCAAATGGCAAGGGCCAGGGATATAGCTCAGTGGCACAGCATCTACCTGGCAAGCATAAGTACCACAAAGAATAAAAAATCAAGAATGAAATGGCAAGTAAGGCCTTTGTCTATCTCTCCTCACCTTGACTTCAACCTCATTTCCTGACATTCTCTGAGGTCTCCACCTAAGCACACAACCCCCTACACACACCAGGTTTTGTTTATTTTCCTGGATATCTCCAAATTCTTGCAGCACCCCCCCCCAGCCTGACAACACTAAGATCACAAAATCAAGTGTGTTTTTCCTTTCTCCTCCAAAGCCTTCATTAATATACCCCATCCAGTAATACATCTTTCCTTTATTGGGTTCTCTCTACATAAATGCTGTCTGTGTGGTACCACTCTCCCCCTTGGACAGTGAGCCCCTGCAGGTGGGGTGTAGACCAGAAGTGGGCACTCAGTAAACCTCTGTTCCTTCCCCACTCATATCTGCGCTCAGCCCTAGCTCCTGGCCGGTTATCACGAAGCCCACTGTAAACGTGACAGACTCATCAGCTCCTGCAGCATCCCCTCACCTGGACCCAGAGCCAGACTCCTCTGAGCGGCTGCTGTCCAGCGCTTCCCGGAGCTGCCACTGCAGGATTGGTTGCTCCTCAGTGGCCCTCTTTCCAGCAGCAACCAGCCATCCCTGGGAGCCCTCTTCATCACTGGAGTCCCTGGAGAAGCCACATCTCAGGGCCTCCAGTGGCTGCTCTCGCTACCCCTACAGACTACAATCACTGAAAGACTCACAGCTCTACGTCTAGGTCCCTCTGATAAGAGAGAGGAGTGGCACACACGAAGCAGGTGCTGCCCAGGAGGCGGTAGCAGCCCTGGCAGTAACGACCTGTAGGAGGCAGGAGAAAAGGGGAACTTGAGTTACCCACACCACCCGGGCTCCCTGCTTTCAGCCCCTCCCCCTCCACTTTCCTTCCCTGCTTTCCAGCCCCTCCTTCCCTGTACCCCAGAGGGAACAGTCTTGTCCAGTGTGCATGGCGGGGAAATCCTTGCATAGGATTAATAGGATAAAATCCTGTTTACAGGGACCAGGGATATAGTTCAGTGGCACAGTGTCTGTCTAGCACGTGTAAGGTCCTGAGTTTGATGCCCAGTGCAAAAAAGAAAAAAGAAAGAACCAAACCAAAGAGGGCAAAGAGGAGATAAGCTAGCGGCCTGAGGGCCTCATGCAGGTGAAAATATGCATAGACATGAAGGGAAGGAACAAAAGGTGAGGTAAGGTGAAGCTGATGGTCATATGCAAACGTGGTGAGGACATCTGACCCAGGGTCTCACCTTGGCACCCTGGGGTGCCACAGTGCACGAAGCTTTCTGGGTCCCCTTTCTCTGGAGGCTGACCACAGCCCAAGCAGTAGGTCTGGTGCAACTGAAATTGCCTGATAAATGGTCTCAGCCATGGGCACCTGAGGAGAGGCATCACACACAAGAACCAGCCAGTCTAACATTCCCTGTGCAGCACCGACCTTGGAAAGACCAGAGGCTTTCCTGCAGCCTAACCTCTGTCTTTGCTTCTAACAGCACCACTCTAGTGCCATGTCTTCCTTCTCACTCCCACTTCTTTTTTTTTTTTTTTTTTTTTTTTGCAGAACTGGGGATTGAACTCAGGCCCTTGCGCTTTCCAGGGAAGCACTTATTCCACTGAGCCATCTCCCCGGCCCCACACTCCCACTTCTAAGAGTTCTCATCCTGAATTCTCCTTCCAAGGGTACAGAATGGGCACCCCCTCTTCAACCGAATCTCTGGTCGCCGAGGGAGGACAGTGGGCCCTCAAACCCTTGACTTTTTTTTTTGTGTGTGTGGAACCGGGGATTGAACTCAGCCCCTTGAGCTTGCCAGGGAAGCGCTTACTCCACTGAGCCATCTCCTCGGCCCCTTGACTCCTTTTCTGTCCACTCTTGCCACACCTACTGGGCAAGGACAGTTGGCTCACCACATGGCCAGCTCCTGGAAGGCACTCACGTGGTCCTGGTCAGCTGCCCGGCGCCTCACTGTTCGTTGCAGGGCGGCCAGCGGGTTAGTTCGCCGGCTTAGAAGTACGTTGTAGAGGTAGGAGATCCTTTCCTGATGGGGGAAATCGGGGACGGGTCCCACCTGACCCCATCTTGTCTGCCTGACTTGCCTCTGCATCCCTCTCTGCTTCCTTCTCCTACAAATCCCTCCAGGCTTGACTCACATGCCCTCACCTCTGGGAAGCCTTCTGGGCCTCCCTGAGTGGAAGTACTCCCTCCCTCCTCAGATTTCCATCGCACTTTATTTTTTCCTTCATAGAAGCTCTTTTTAAAAAAGTATAATGCCTCTTAAAATCTGACCTGGCCTGTGTTGAGATGAGCTCCAGCCTATGGGGTTCACCGTGGCATCCGAGGTGACCACACAGTGGTAGGCATACAGTAGGTGCTCAGCACATGATTAGCACATCAGTAGACAGGGTGAGTTTCCCTCCAATCCCAACATGCCAACATTTCCCCTGTCCCCCTGGTTTTCTCAAAACTTTGGAGGTGAGCTGAATGTCAGGAAGCTCTGCCCCAAGTGGCACCACTTCCCCCAGTCCTCTCTGGGCCCCAGAGACCTGCAGTTCAGGTTGTTTGCTTTGGGGCTCAACCAGAGGAGAGCTGTCAGAGTCCTCTGAGCTCCCCAAAGTCAACATAGTCAAGCTTAGCACCTGGGGTGGGGCAGGGACTGAGGTGGCTAGGGCCCCCCTCACCTGCTCACGGGATGGGTAGTAGGAGGCGCAGATGACCCGCCGAAGCCGGCTGACATATCCACCACACAGAGTGACAAAGAAACACAGGCCATACATGACGCCTGGAGGACAGAGGCCCAGAGAGCACTGCTGCAGGCCCTGGCGCTGACCGCAGCCCTCCTGCCTGCTCCCAGCCCCCAGGGCCATGGGGTTGTGGTCATACCTATGACTATATAACTGGTGGAGTCTGGCTCTGAGGGCTGCAGGAGGCAGCGCTGGGACAGGATGCTGACATTGCCTTGCTGTAGGACATCGAAAGCTGACACCAGGTCTCGTAAAATATTCCCAGTGTATCCTGTCCCGTCCACAGTTATGGACACTAACACAGGGCCTGGCAAAAAGATACAAGGTAAGGAGCACATGTGACAGGTACCTGCTCCACTCCATAGAAACAAACACATCTGTTCATTGGTGCAAAGTGGGCCATGCAGCTCATAGGTGTGGCCCACACTCTCACCCAGGGGCCTCTGATGCCCAAGCACCCTCAGGGTGCCCCAGAGCCTGGCCTGTTCTGGGCCCTCTGACTGGCTTTCTGATCTGGGGTGGCACGACACTTGTGTCTGGCCTGCTTGGCCAGGCCACTAGATCTGAGATTCATCCCACCCCATACTGCCCAGAAACATTTTATATTATTAAGGCATTGGTAAGTCAGGTGTGGTACATGCCTGTAATCATGGCTACTTGGGAGGCTGAGGCAGGAGGGTCAAAAGTTTAATTAACAAATTTTTTATTAAAGTTTTTTCTGTGTGTGTGTGTGTGTGTGTGTGTGTGTGTGTGTGTCTGAGGCAGGGTTGTCTCTCATTCTGTAGCCCAGGCTGGTCTCGAACTCTCAAAGATCTTCCTGCTTCAGCCTCCCAAGTGCTGGGATTACAGGTGAGAGCCACCACACCCAATTTAACAAACAAAAGTTTGGACCAGCCAAATAGCTCATTGAATTAAAGGGCCTGTTTAGGCAGACACAGGGAGTTTGATCCCTGGGCCTGCTGTGCTGACCCTGCCCCCGGGTGCCCTGACGTATGGACTGAGACTAGGCTCGCCTGGGCGTGTGGTGGTTGAGACTGGGTGCGCCTGTAATCCCAGCACTTGGGAGGCTGTAAAAAGGAGGATCACTATGAGTCCTAGACCCTGCCTTAAATACAAAACAAACAAAGTTAATTTAACAGAAAGTTTGATTAGAGAGAGTCTGTCTTAAAATTTTACAAAAGGGTTGGGGCCAGGGTATGATGGTGCTATAAATTCAAAGTTAGCCTGGCTTAGCTAGTTAAATTTAAAGCCAGCCTAAACTGCCTAACAAAACACTGTGTTGAGAGAGAGAGAGAGAGAGAGAGAGAGAGAGAGAGAGAGAGAGAGAGAGTTGTTTTGTTCTGTTTTTTAAATGCATTTAATACAGGGTCTCTCTATGCAAATGGACTCGTAGTGATCCTCCTGCTTCCGGCCTCCCAAGTACTAGGGTTACAAGTGTAAATTGCCGCCACACCCAGTCTCAACTGCCATCTCAGTGTCCCCAGGGACGGGGCCCGCACAGCATGCTGGGGATCGAACCCTGGTCTCTTTGTCTGCCTAAGCAGGTGCTTTAATCCACTGAGCTATCTGGCTGCCAGGCCCTGGGTGGAGTGTTAAAAAAGGCCTGGGGATGTAGTTCAGAGTGAAGTCCCTCGGTTCAATCCCTCAGCCACACACACACACACACACACACACACACACACACACACACGCAGCATTGTGTACTGAGTATATAGCAAGCATTGGATGAAGTGGATGTTTGTTTTGGGCTTAGGGTTTTGGGCTTTGCTTTTTCTGTCCCACGGCTGTACATCAGTCATTCTGTGGCCCGTGGCAGGCTTGATCATGATCTAGCAGCACCCAACACACGGTCTTCTGTCCTTACAGTGACCCACAGAGTTTGCCCCCTTCCTTAGCCCATTGTTCAGATACACAAACTGGCTCTGAGAGGTTATACAGCTTGCCTGAAGTCCCTGCCTGATAGAGAACAGGCAGGACTCGGATTTGAACTCAGAGCAGTCTAACCTAGAGCTTCTGTCTTTACACACTGTTTTGCAGATTTTGTTTTGGTTGGTTTGGGGGCATTTTTTTTT